CCTACAGGGTTACATTAAGGTGAGGAGGGCTTGCAGGGGACATCTCTCTAGCAAGGTCTGTATTCAAGAAAGCATTGGCACAAGCAGTTATCCCCAGATTTTCAGGAGCGGCCTCTAATTTTGAGCTTTCTAACTTGATATCCTAGCTTAAAATGTTTAAGGTCTGATTTTTGGATGTGTTGCCACTTTTATTGAAATCAGAAGCTAAAATCTTGGTCTCATGCCTGGAGAAAAAGTTAGGAGAAAACTTCTGACAGATTGATCCAAGGCATAATTAGGGTGGGGGCAGGCAGGAGTAGTGGGGGCGGGGGATGGACCAGAGTGTGCAACAACAGTCACACTCCATTTGCTGTATGATACATTCACAGTGAGCTCTCTGAGCTCCCTGGAATGTTAGCAGAATTTTGCTTGTGCTGCAAGGTCTCTGAGCTCTCCAGGTGATGGGCACAGACTCTGACCACAGCTCCTGCTTTCATGTAGCTCTGGAGTCCATAGAATTAGTGCTGCTGCTGCTCATCTCCTCTTTTTTCCTGTTGCTGAATTCAGAGAGAGTGAGGGGGAAGGAAGGGAGGGCAAATGGTGGCATTGCTCACCACCACCTGGGCACCAGAACCATGTGAAATCAAGGCTCCAACTAGAGCTCTCATGAAATCAGCTGTTGCACTCAGAATGCTCATCCCACGTGGAGCTTGAGCAGAAGTTCTCAGGGTCCGCCTTGCTCTAATCCTGGGTCGGCCCATAATGGGCCTTCAAGGCAAAGCTTTCAAAAGCACCTGCGTAGAAATGTTGCTCGTTTTAGCCAGGGTGGTTCCTGGATATGAAAGGAATATAAGTCTTGTGTTTGGTAAGCACCAAAGTCCCACTCTCACTCTTGGCATCTATAAGGAAGAAAGTCAATGAAACTGAAGCTGCTAAGTCACTTAGCTACAATTGAAACATTAACTGTAATGTCTTTCTGTGATGAATATCTGAATATTTCATTTGAAAAGAATATTTCTCTTAAAGGTACGACACAGATTTAAAAGGCTACCTTACTTGCCAAGAATTTTTACAGAAGATGGGGGCAGAGATCATACCTGCTGACATTGGGCTAAGTAGCCAGATAGCAGAAGACGACTGTGAAACCTTAAAGGCACGCTTCAGTAATCAACAGAAGAAGCATTCAAAGCTAGAAGAACAGCAGAAACAGCAAACTCAAGCCCTTCCCATCAGTGAGATTAAAAAGCAGATCAAGTGAGTTATCTAGAGACTAAGGCTATGCTGAGGACGTCTATGGAAAGATGGCAATGTCAGAAATATGTGTGCATTTTTGTTGCATTCCTGAAGATGAATCCTGCAAGATATTGGGACAAACTTCTGTCATGTGACTCCACTGATGTCACTGAGGATTAACTTGGCTCTGAATTTTGTGAGGCAATTTTAAAATATTCTGCATGACTGCATATCATTTGTTCTGTAGACTGTATGACCCCAATCATTTATGATCCCAATCAGAGCTGTTCAGCACATACTGAAGCTTTTCCACCAGTTGGGTTCTCTGATCCTTGGCCTGCTCATTTCCAGGCCTTTCCCAGCAGAAATTAGGGTAGCCCATGGGTTGCTTTAACTTACACTCAACTGTTTCTGACTAGCGGGATTTAGCAGGCAGCTGGAATTCCTGTGTTATGAAGATGTTAATCACACACCATTTCCCTCTTACTATGGCCATTGTATAAAAGTTATTGTGGTTCTGGAAATCCTCCAGCAGTTAATTAAGATGAAATTATGCCTACATTTTCACTGCTGCAACATAAAACCTCCATATAAGGGATAGATAAAAGAAAAACATTTTACCTTTAAGCTAGCAGAGGGTCCACTCAGCTGCAAATGACATCTACACCCTCTGAGGTCACCCATCCCGGGAGGCCTACTTAACAAACCAAAAGACAATACCAAGATAATGCTTCATGCATATCCCACTTGCCTCTCCTCTGTTCTCTGGCTTGACTTCTCCTTTGGGCTCTCTTCTTAGGAGTTCAGTCCCACCTCCCTTTTATTCAAAGAGGAGCCTAATGATCTGTGCTTGCCCTGATGAGTCAACGATAATTAGCAATAGCCCCTGATAGGATTCTATCACCTTTAATAGAATGGGGCAGCAGGAGATCCTTGTGCCACGCTACTGTGTCACTAAAATTTCATATCTTCAGGTTCTGAGCAGTTACCCTCTGCCTGTCTGGTCTATTTGTTGTTCCCCTTTCCCTTACCTTCCACCTATTGTGCAGTGGGTTGTGGTTTTTTAGTATATATCCATATGAAAAGAGACCATCCTTTTCTTATGTTGGAAAATACCTAGCTTGGTGTGGAGTCTAGAAAAGCATTAATGATAACAATAATTCTTGCTCACATCATCAGTAAAAGGTGATGCACCAGCAATAACATAAATCAAGAATGGCCAAGATGTCTTCCAGCCAAAGGGGAAACTGAAAGGCTCAGAAAGTAACAAAGAAACATGCAAGCTGAGTTATTTTTACCTGCTGTTTTTATTTACGATAATAGTTTAATCTGTCCTACTCAAGTGTTTAAAAATTAAAGGCAAAACTGGCTTCTGTTCTGCACTGCAGATTGCTTGCCTGCCTTCCTGCCTTATAGCTCTCTTCTTTAGATTTTGCATTCATTCCATGCATGGAAATCCTACTGGTGTCAGTGGAAATTTTACACGCGAAAAGACTACATCCTATGAAATGGGGTGGTTCAGC